TCGATGGACAAAACATATTCTTACACCGATGGTTTCATTATTCTAAGGTACATGTTAATCTCTCCTATATATGAAGCATAATATATACAGCTAGCTTTTGAAAATTCATAGAATCTTTTCTCTTAGGAAGGCTCCTTCGTCCACATACTTTCTATTCTTTTTTATTGGGTGTAAAAACATTATTCCCTTTTAAGTCAAATTTTGCTTTTGACTTTTCTTTTCCCTTCCGTCAGTGACATGATTCTGCCTTTGGCCTTTTTTGTCTGCACCCAAACTGACAGCACCAACCTGAGACACGAAAAAGCTTAGTTTGGATAATTCACTCGTTTACCATCATGCTAAAATGACTCCACATTTTGCCAAACACACACACTATCACCTTAAAGATGATTCTACATTTTATGTTACTTTTGATATATTAGAGTGTGCTTACATGTAAAACCATTAATGAGAGGTTGAGTAAGATTCCATAGAAATTAGAATTTTAAACGAGTGTTACGCTTGATAAATTAGAATTAAGCTGATAAATTTTATTCGGTAAAGTTTAAATAGAGAAGAATAGAAAGTGTTACACTTGTTTCAATTATGTTCTTGAAAATATGTTTTTTACTTTTAAAGGCATGTTTCAAGATATCTATTCAATGTGATTTTAAATAATGTTTTTCAAAATGGTGTTTTAAAAATGAAAGTAAATTAACATTTGCCCTGGTTGGAATTACTTTTAAAAATAGTTTCTGAAGAACCCAAAAATAAAAAACATGTTCGACAGGTGTTTTCACTATTGAATTTTGAGAGAACTAAAATTTTCAGTTATTCTATTATTTTAGGACTTACAAGCCATGGTAAAATTGTAAACAACGTTACCCGTGCTTTTCCGATCCTTTATTGTAACCTCACTGACTTCGTTGTTCCACTAGGGCATCCTCAATCTTGGCCAGAAGTTCCCAAATCTTTGCCTTACGTTCTTGAAATATGCTAGTTTTCCTTTGTTTCAATTATCTCTTTCCAAGTTCCATCAAGAAGAAGCTAAGCTTAGAGCACACAAAAAAAGGGCTAAGCCTACGAACACTTGACTTTGTCAAAAACTAAAGATTCTAATGTATTTCTCAAATATATATGAGTAACAGCATCACAACAGGCGTCATGGTATTTCTGTAAAAGGTAACGTTAGGATTCATTATGTTGCTCTTCAGAAAAATATCGAGGAATCAATTTACTTAGAATTATTTTAACTTAACTTGTCTTTTTAAATTTAAATTTTAATAAATACTTAAAAAATATTATTTATAATAATTTTATTTAACTTAAATAAGATTATTTTCATAAAAAATACCTGTAATTTTGGGTAACAGAGATGTTTAAAAGTACTCATACATCTCGTTTTAGTTGGGGTGATATATATAAAAAATAAGAATATATTATTATTAGTATCTTAAAGTTTATTTTAATTAAATTTAAAAGTGATAAAATTTTATTTAAAAATAAATATTTATTACATCATAAATAGTAAAATAAAAAAAGCAAATTATCTATCTGCTTAAAATGTTGCTTTTATCTTTAATGGTCTAGTTTTAATGCACGAAGAATACAACAAGTATAACACACACACATATATATAGGTATCATCATCTCTTAAACACAATTTTGTTTGAGTAAAGTAAAATTACTGTGGATAAAACTTTTCTTCCCTCTAAACATTTATACTAAACAATAATTAAGACTAATTAAAGAAGAGATGTGTCCTAGTTGGAATCTGAAATCATATATAGCATGGTATTGTTATATTATTTGCAAGTTCCATATACTGAAGTTGACATATATTTCTGAGTGGGTTGTTGTTTGTCTCAGTATATTAGCATATTTACATAGGTAACTCCTAAGCATATTTGGATGGCAAGTCAACAATGCTCAGCAACTTACTGATAAGTTGTATTCAACAATAGGTTAAAAATGTTAATATAGTGATTTTCATTGATTATGTTAATAAAGATTTATTAACATGAGCGATAGATTACTTCCTGTGTATTGTTATGTGATTACAAAACTGGTTAATCATGAAAACTTTAGGATATGTTTAAAAGGATGGTTTTCAAAGAAAGGGGAGGAAAAGACATAATTTTTAACCTTAAATCAAAATAATTATATATCACTTATGATAATAAATGCATGATTAATATATTAAATTTATATTAATATATCAATTCAAATCTTTTATTTCAAATAAATATTAATTTTAACTATATTTATTTAAAATATAAAATTTGTTTGTTCCTCTTTTTCTCTTCAAAATTCTCCTTCTCAAACAACCCCTTAAAGTATTGAATTATTACACTAAATAAAACATAAATACAATACTTTAAGGACTAATTCCTTCAGAAATTTTTACCAGTGATTTGGGTTGAAATGCATAAACTATCAACGTAAGAGCTGAAGAGTTTGTATAGCACAACTAAAAGAATTTAACTATTTAGTTAATTGTGATCACAGCCAATCAAAGTTAAATCGTTTGACTAAAATGTGTGCAACGATTGTAGACTTATAAAATTACGTCAAATGGCACAACACAAATGTAACATGCCAAAACAATACATTATGTATAGATTATTTTGATCTTATCCATTCGTACTAAGCTGACTACATGCAAACTTAAGCCAGAGATACTATGTTTAGTGAATTATTATTAGAAACCTATCAAACATGTAAGATATTATCAATAACAAACAAGGTACAACATTGATTAGGGCAAATTTTAAATTTCATAAGAAACATGAAATTGCAACCCTCCTCCTTTGTCCGGGCTGGGGACCGGCTGTGTTATATTATGAGACACAGGCGGAGTTAATTGCCAAAATTACACGAGTGTGTCCATTCGCATAAGCATTGCCCGCATGAGGGAAAAGCAAGTACCAAGCACAAGGTAGTTGATGGGCATGCCCATTTAAGAACAAGGTAAATGCACGACAACAAATCAACCCATTCTTAAACTAGATTATTCAGTTTTGAGTTCGCGTTATGTTATCATAATTCCACAGGACCAATATGCGCAGCCAAGCTCTAGGATGACAGTTTTCAAACTAGATCGGACTATTGTGCATACATATGCTTAGACCTTTCATCACTTATAAAAGTTTAAGAACGATTGGATTCTCATTATTTCAAAGCCAAGGTAATTCACCATTCTCAATGAAATTTGTATTAACTTAGTGAACGCCTATTATGGGAGAATGATCATATTCTAATTCAATCATGCAATAATCATGAGCACAAAGGTCGACAAAGTGAGTACCAATGCTTGGCCCTTGTCAAACTTAATTGGTTTTCGAAGTATGCCATTTGCCAATGCTAAACACATCAAAGATAAAAACAAATCCTTGGATTACATTTGCATTTGTAAAATAACTGTATGTCGATATATAACGACATGAATTCAAACGCGAATCTAATTGTACAAAATAGTGTCTTTTGTTACTCTAACTTTATATATATATATATACACACACACACATTCACGAACTTTGTTTTAAGCAAACTCATCACGAACGATGTTAATTTATTAGCTCATCTCTACACTTTTTCGAGGGTAAGAAGCTTGTGGTGTATCGTTTGTAATTTTATTATTCTTTTTATAATGCCAACCAGATATAGTGCCGTTAATCTGACCGGTACAAGCTCCATATAAACTCTCTAGTTTTTAACATAAAATAGTTGTTACAATGAGTAAATCATTTAAACAAGTAAAAATAATGAGTTTAAAAATTAGTATAAAACCGAATTTGTAGTGAGTCCGTTTGTAGTAAGTTCGTGAGCATATCAATTACCGAGGTAAATGAAGCATCATAAAGAGCCAATTTACCAGAATAAAGCGAAACCCACTGCTCCTAACCCCATTTTAATTCGCGCACCCCAAATTGTAATAGTATTTGGCCAGGAATTCACTTTGGCCGGCGCTCACTTTATTTCCTGAGGGGTAGAAGGAACTGGGAATCACTAGGGAAAATATAAGAACTCACCAGGAACGACAATAACAAGTGGCAGAAAGAGAAACATACCAGTAGGCACAATCCAACTCAGCAAACTAAAACGATTTTTCCTACTTGAGTTAATCCTGCAACCATAGGAATTGAAGGAGGGAAGCAAAATAAATATAAGAGAAAAGGCAGCCAATTGCATCAACAAATTCTACGCACTTGCAAGATACATGAAAAATTCCACAAGAGGCTTCTTCTCTCGCGACTAATTAAACTACATAAAATACACGGCTGAGAGCTGGGAACAAAATAAGATTAATGATACTCACATATTGGTACACCATATTATCTACCATACACGCAGGAGATTAAAAATTCATGTAGTCACTAAACATAATTTCTTTATTTTTTAAAGTTCTTGTATTAGAGTGATAAAATAGAAAACATTGCTCTAATTTTTTTCCCCATAATTAGAGCTATGGCAAAATTCATGTAGTCACAACGCTCTAATTTGACTATATAATCTTATCAATCAGCCTTGCCATAGCAAAATTGAACTTCCCAATTACAAGCACCTTCACTCTTAAATTTTAGCAATTTCCCAATTTTGGGCCATGTCTAAAATTGTTAACAAATGGTAAAAGCGGCTCCAAGCCTAGGTAATAATTTTTAAGGCATAGTTTCACAGACCCAAAAGAGTATTGTCAGCTTATTGTTAATATACGCAAGTAATCTCAATGAAGGAAATAGCCTTAAATTCATCATGCAGCTAAAGAAATTCTAGCACATGAAAATTGAATATTTAACTGTTGAAAAAGTTTATAACGATGTACACCAATTTGACAACCCACTTTTTTCAAAAGAAATTTCAATACCATTATTGTTGGGGTGTAGATACATCAAATAGTTGTCACACATTCAGCCGCAGCTATTAACATAATTCAATCCAGTCTTTGTTATAGAAACAAGGAGGGTGTAACAAAAAAGATGAAGAACTTGGGAGCAGGAATGGGCGGATTTGAAATTTGGACCGTTGTGATTTTCAACAGCTTGTACTATTTGTTACCAAAGCTTTTTATTAATGAATTAGGCGTCTTTTGTACCAAATCATTCCTCAACTACATCATATAAACACGAAAACAATAATTTACAGCTTCTAAGAGAAGAAACTCAACTGCCAAAAAATGTCTACAAGAATGAATGAGTTACTTATTTCATCACCGAACGTGCGGGCAATCCAAATTGTATACCAATCATCAATGGTATTCTGTTCAACCTATCACCAACGATGCTGATCCATAACCTGAAACATCATAACACTTAAATCAATACCTGGAACTCGTACAAGACTAAATGTATTTGTTTAATTTGTTTTATTATTATCATGAAGGCATCAAGCTCTTATTAAATAAAAGGATGGAGAGCTATGGCAATTATAACCTACATTTCTTATTTTTCTTATAGCCGATAGTTAGTCTCGCCATCTGGTTTACCTAAAAGCAAACCGAAAATCAAGGAAACCAAACATCTAAACTTCTAGACATCCATCAAATTAACTTTGAACACAGGTATGACTAATTTAATGGATCATATGCATAATATAACAATTTACATAGAAAAACTAGTCATTAAAACTGCAATTACATAACATGCATGACGTCTGAAACGAGAGCTATATCATTTATATACCCTATTTAAAAAATAGGAAGCTGTACACAATAATAATCGTGTAATAGCTGTCAATGAGCTACGGCCACATAAAATGCTACTCCCACTACCATAATAAAAGATTTGGCACATGCTAAGCTAGACTTTCTGAATTTATGCCTAGGAAACTGGTATTCATTGGTAGTTGGAACTAGAATAGTACATACAAACATTAAACAGTATTAGATATAGAGTACATAGAGGAAAAGTACATGGACATTTTCATAAAAATATGCCAACAACGACAGATCTTAATGTAATTAGGAAAATCCTGGAAATGGGATAGCTAAAAAGCACAATGCAAGTTGTAAATAAATTGAATGGAGGAGACTGTAGATATTAAGCAGACACCAAATGAATATAAGGCAACATGTATTAATAGGCAAGCATATTTATCGAGTCTTTACACAGAGGAAACTGAATCTATACAATTCCCTCATTTTCCTTTGGCCATCACCAATCTACATCTAGAGGTAGCCACGTTGGGTCTATGTCAAGTAACAAAAATAAAATAACATGCTAATAATAATAATAACCCCCATGAACACCAGATTATGTTGAGAGTGAGACGTACAAGGTATGATCATAAACAAGTATTCATGCAACTCATCCAATTGATGTCAGTAGAAATATAAAGTAACAGTATCTTCAAGTCTTCAGAATGTAACATCCCACAATTATGGGAGTATAATCCTGCAACAATGACAACAACAATTAGGTTAGAAAGATTGTCACCAAAGGATGACATGTATTGAGGATTAAATAAACACATGGACCATAATAGCTTTGCAGAAGAGCATAATGATGTGAACTGCAATTAGATGCTATAATTAAACGGGACAAGTACGTACCTATGGCAAAAATTTTGTCCACTCAACAATTCTACAAGTGGACCTCAAAAAGAAGAATCTGCAAAAATATTGAAAAAGTAAGAGTGAGGTTGTAAACAATAAAATTCACCTTCAGCAGTGAGTGCTTACCAGCATCAGAAACTAAATCACTGCCTAATTCAATGATCCACGACATCTGCATAATTAGTACATAAATGTTATAGAGTGAGTATGTCTCAACAGTTAGCAGGAGAAGCAAAAAACAATTTCACGTTTATTATTGTCCTAAAAGTTCTGAAAGAATACCCATCCACTTCAAAAGTCTGTCAACTAAACTAATAGATAATATATGGTTATAAAACAACCAAATCTACATGGATTAAATAACACCATTGTTTTCATCAAAAACCAAATTTTCAGAAAATCCACTCAGATGGCCTTATGGTTTTTCCTTAAGTTATTATTATTCTCTCTTTATCACTTCTAATTAGATTATCATTAATTTGTAGTGTGTTTGATTCAACTTACCTTGAAGAAATAATTTCTTTTTTTTTTTTCCCAGCTTCATGAGTTTTTGAAAAAGAAGCAATTGTCTCTAAATTTAAGAATTCCAAAAATGCTATTGATCTATTATATCCAATATCCATTTGATTAATTGGATCCAGTTTTTTCATTGGATTCTCAATTAGTCTTTTCTTCACTTAACCAATCCACCTTACGCAAGTTTTAGTTATTTGATCAATAGGTGCTACTCAAACTTTCACCAAAATACAAATGTTACTGATTGTCATTTCTAATATATCCACTGATGATGACCATAATTATTAGAATCTTACAATTCCAAATCTATGTCATAAGAATAATTTTACTATTTTTCTAATTCCAAATTTTCAAGAAAACTACATTAAGTATATCGAGCAAAATTACCAAAAGAGTGTGAAAGATTCAGGGGTGAAGTGGCCATTTGTTGATTTTAGTAGCAAATCAAACAATTCAATAGCAAAAGCTGGGGTTTACATGATCTGGCTTGAACTTTGAGAGAAACTAAGTATTAACTCAATGCAATGCCTGAACCCAAACATGCTTGATAGTAAACTACAAAAAGAATTAGGTACATATCCATGTGTAGGATGATTTATCCTTACCAGATATGTAAGTAGAACATATATGTATACATAGCACTCTTTGATTAAATCAATGTATTTCATGCATCAAACAATGATGACAAGAAAACCATGGAAATAAAGATATGCTAAGAAATTTAAGTGTCATGATCTTACTTTTTGGAACCACAGTTGCATGGAATCTTTTTTTCCTCTAAGGGGAACTTATAGTTGTATGTAATTTCTTCACCAGCAGCTATATGCCGTTTTGCATATATGAAAATTTTCTTTTGACCTTCAACAGATATAACCTTTGTATAGCAGTTGGGCTGCCAAAAATTCAATTCAAATCAGGAAGAATGTGAAATCAAGATTAGAATTAGCACATACATACACCCCAAAACACTTCTTCAAATGAGCGGATACCCAAAAAGAAATCCTAATTCAGTTTTTTCAAACTATAATAATAGTACACAAGTACCTCACAAGAGTGGTTAACAAATCTTGCAATCCCACCTCTCTTTGTAGCATCAACCTACATATACTCAGACAGGAAAATGATGTGTGCTTAGAATTTATCAATATAGGCTTATTTAGAGAATATGAATTAGCAGGCATGCAAAACTATATGTAACTTAACACTTCTTTTAGATAAGCTTGTTATACATTACGTTTTAATCTTATTTTAGCTTATCAAGTGGAATAATCAATCGTAAGACAAAATTATCACGTGTCTGGATTGCCTTATATGAGGAACCTATGTCAACCAAATAAGCCATACATGCTATAATGGGGAACTTTAGTTCTCCAGGTCAAGTGGTGACTATATTTTGATCACCCTGTGATCAGATTAAAAAGGCTGCAACTAATTATTTAGTTAACCTCCACAGGCCAATTTGAAAAAATGTTTGCTTAACTAAGTTATTGAATTCAAACCCAAGTTGCAAAAGAGTCAATCTTTTTCTAGGTCTGACATCCAAGATTTTAATGACAAGCCTATACATCTACCTTTTAATGTCTAACCATATTAGATACATGAACAAGACAGCATGAATCCTCACCCACTTCTAAAGCCCCAAAATTTCAGAACTCAAAACAATCCATTAGGTTCTACTCTAACTACAATTTGGTCCATAAACTTCATAGCATCTCACTTGCAGAAAAATATAAGTTAAAATATCAAGCGATACCAAGATAGAGTATATTCATCTGACACAACAACTCCATAGATACCTCAGAGAAGCAATAAATCTAACATTAAAAAAAAAAAACACACACACACACATACTAACCACATAGCCATCATCAAGTCTAAAAAGGTAACTGCTTCCAATTCCCATCTTCTCGTATTGACGTTCACGGATATCAGAGATCTGTGAGACAAAACCACATCAGTTAGTTGATCCAGTAGAAAAGCAATTCTATTACAATATTGATCATGGCACGGTCGTCAAATCATGAATTTAATTGCAAATCGGAAGACCTATTAAGATTCATGATCAATAACAATTAAGTTTAGAAATAAATGGTTTCCTATTTTGAATGCACATTAATTATTATGTTCTCCAAGCTCTTCTCTCCCTAAGTTTTAAAACTAGCAATAAAAACCCCAATTTTGTTGTTCAGCCACCTCTTCTTTAACTCTCTTTAGCCACAGTAATACATCTCAGATGCTCAAATCTGAAGTACATTTCACCTAACAGTCACAACAACCCCACCATCCTCAATGTCAATGCCAGACTGTCCACCAGAAGCTCTCTTCACTGGACTATCCACATACCCTCGTGCTCTAATCATTGGTTTACTGCATCTATTAATCTGAGCAGTCAGTGATGGCTCCAGCCACCATCTCCTATAAATATCTCGATCAAAAAGATTCTGGACACACCCACCAGTTCGTCCTTGGTTCATCACCCCACCATGGCAGTTTGGCTTGCTATCCATCCAAGATCGGTATTGCCAGAATTGCAACAGAATGACATTCCACCATAAATCAGGCAATTCAACATGTGATTCTGGTTAGAAGACAACCCCATTTGAAATGTATCATTTGGGTGGACTTACAGCAAATCGCAATTCATGCAATTCTGACTATCATGGTTCAGACTAAATCAGTAGAACTTCAGCATAAGTATGCACTGAGGAAGGATCTCTTCAACCATAGTGTACAACATTAACATCAACTTATTTATAAAATTTGGAAATTCTATAAAGAGAACAAGCCAAATGTGAATCTATTAATATTTAATATTGTTATGCACGAGATACATTATTCAAAATTCACTTTGCAGAATTGACCGACATGATATAACCTTGAAATCTGAATCTTTGTAACAATAGTTTTTTCTTTACCCGAGGACGAATTAGTTCTCCAATATATTCAATCACAAAATCCTCCGCCTCTATTGGCTCCAAGGCAACAAGACCCCAGTCATGTATCTTGCTCCTTTGAAAACGTAAGCGCTTCTTCCGTGCCTGAGAAATGCAAATAAATAATTGAAATTTGGCATATCCAGATAGTCCAAGCAAGAATCCCCAAAAACACATTCATTCACCCATCACCTTCAATTGAGGCACTTTCAGAAGATCTGCACCCTCCGCAGCAGCAAGAAGGTTACGCAATTTCACCCTATTCGTTCTTGCAGAAAGACCCTTACCATTTGACAACTGAGATAAATTATTTTCAGAATCTATGCACTTCTTCTGCACACATGAAAGACCCCTGACACGTGCTTTATATGCAGGACTGGCACTTCGAGACCATTTATGCCATTCCCACCCATCAATAGAAGTCCTAGCACATCCATCAGATCTAAGACATAAATTAAATGGCTTGGATTTAGCAGATTTCCTCCTTGCTTCAGTAACCTGTTTACTGGCTCCCAGATTAGCATCATCATTTGAAATTTTTGAAACCTTCGTACGATGTGAAGATGCCGTACCATCCATTTGATGCTTCCTCTTTAATTTTGACACTTTATTTGTTGCTGTAAACAGGAAAAGGAAACCTATAATATATAAGTAGATAGATAGATACACACACGCACACTCATAATGAATCTAGACGGAAAAGTAAATACAAGACATTTTAGAACAGTTAGATAAGTTTTAAAAAGGAATAAGAAGCTGATAAATATACAGGAATCAACCATGATGTCATTAACCTACCGTTTTGTATCTCTTTGGAGCAATGATCAGTGGACTTTCCTTTGACGGTGCCATCACAGCCATCAGTTTTGACAATCTTCTTCATACCAACACTATTATCAGTTGACGCTGAAGCCCTCTTTACATTAGATTTTACAACATTCATAACATCATCTGAATAAGGAAGAATGGACAGCTGTTATTCCTACACAAATTTATAATTATAAAACTAGTGTCAACAAATTAACAACGAAAATTATATACTTTGAACTTTACTTGAAAATTTCAACACTTTCCGACCAGTTTTATTCTTCAAGGATAATTGATCACCCTGCGAGCTATCAGTGACATTAACAGAAGACCTGCCTTTAGAAGATGTATCCTTCTTCCCTTTAATAATTCTAGTCTTTCTGTGTTTAACAGAAGCCATTTTAACTTCTGCAGTCTTGTTTCCATCTCCAGAAACATGTTTCCTCAACTTAGCCACAGGCTGCTTCCCTGGCCCAGAATCATCTTTTGCTACAGATTGAGAGGGAAATAATTCTTTCCGTGACAACTTCTTCCGATAATATGTATACTTCCCACTCACCAGAGGAACTTCAGAAGAATTATTTGCTCCTTCCTTCACTCTTCCCAGTCCAGAAGTAGCATGATTCAAAAGTTCCTTGTTTGCATTGAATGCTTTTCCTTTCTAAAGAATTATAAAAAATAAATATAAATAAACCAATAGAGATACAATAATGAGACAATAAAACTAAATACCAAAGGTAGTCAGAAATGAAAATGAAATGCAGTATTTTAAGAGCTCCCATAAATATTGAATATTTGAATTAATAAAATTCTTACCTCATGGCAGTTAGACTGATAATGTTTCTTTATGGCACCTGATGACATAAAAACTTGATTGAACATTGAATCAAGATGCGATGACTTCCACTCTTCTAGAACTTCATCATGCAGCTTCTGTCGGCACAGCGCAGCTGCAACATATTCTGTAATCTTAGGATTACATTCAACCAACCTTGAAGGTCGAAATCTTGAATTGTAGCAAGGGACACCTCTTCTAGATTTCTCTTCAAATCCAGGTGGTAGGTCAGTAAGATCCTCTTCATCAACCACATCATCTACATATCCACACAATTCCTTAAATGCTTTTGAAAAAACATTAGACATATGGTTTCCAGATGCAGACTTGCAAAATGAATCCCCAGCTTTTACAGAATCCATCGAATTGTCATTTAGAATTTCCTTCACAGATGATTTACCAGAAAGTATCTCTGAAAAACCACGGTCACTAACATCAACCTGCAACAAGTACACGATTCTTCAACATAACATTGTCTAGTCTGAAGTCTCAAAAAAAGAATATGAACACATAGTTAACTTACCTCATTCAATTTGTCTGCTTCTAGGGAAGTAATTAATTTGTTCATTTCCTTTTCAACAAAACTTTGAATGTAATCAGCTAAAGACACCTTTGAAGAGAAGTAAAGCTCATTCTCCACACTTTCAAGAATGCATGTCACATCTTTAGTGTTATGACAAGAGCTTGAAACTCTATGACCTTCTAATAAATTTCCACCTTTGAGGCTACTATGAGGCAAAAATAACTGAGGATGATAATTTATTTTATTCGCCAGTATTCCGAACTGATTATAGCCATCACCATTGCATTCAAAGGAATCTTGCTTGAGAACTGACTGTAGAATAATTGTATAATTATTATAGGTACAATTAAAGCAAGAACTCAAGTAAGCAAGCTACACAGTAGTCGTTACTCACAGCTTCTGATACACTCTTTTCAGCATGATCTTTACATCCATTAATAGATGGTTGAGGCTTGGGATGAGACCAAAGCTTCCTCTTCCTCCAGGAAGATAAGTGCTCTGCTAGAGTGTCAAAAAACACTGCATTCCACATGACTTGCATGCAATAATCAAGAAGTACCTTGCGAACAACAGCATATGACCACCAAAAATTTTCAACACTTCCAACTGATTTAATGGTTGTTGAAGATGATCTGGAACTTTCATGACAAGCTTGATCATCTAAAATGTGGGAAGCTGCAGGATCACTGGCAATGACAGTCCCTTTACTCATCTCCACAGAAGACTTAGACTGTTAAAGCAAATATTCCACAACTTAGTAAGATGCACACAATTTCAAGTTTTCAACAATACTACTTGCAAAGCAATTAAACATCACCATCATGGTGTCCAATACGCAAGTTTCAGAAGTCTGGTCAGCTGATTCAGGCTTATGCCTCTTATGTTTCTTTTCAGTAACAAACTCTGCAATGATATCCCCAAGAATCCCATCCAGCACAACTCTGCGAGCAGCTTTCATGATTCCCACGTGCAATTGGGAAGAAATGTTTTTAGATATTTCACAAATTAAGTTTACCATATCACCAGCCTCATTGCTTGTGGAACCTGATCTACAAATGGTTCCAGAGATATCTCCTTTCAATGCATTTACAGCAGACAGTAGTGCAAAGGGGCAACACTTCTTGTCAGAATGAGAAATCTGTAAATTTGGCATGACACTAATTTATTAAATAAAATTCAAACACCAAAAAATAAACTCTTTATATGTTTTGATTTACAGGTATTCACTTTTTTCTCAATTAGACCAAATTTGCAATTGAAGCATACAGAAAATAGGGGCTATTGCAAAACTTATCCTTCTTTGAACCTATGAAAATTTGACCATTGGACAAATTTCATGTGCCTGTTAGGCTGCTAACTAGATGTAGATGCACAAGTCCAGTCCATGCTTTGCAAGGGAACACATATCCTATCATAGGTTTATAATGCATATAGATAACAAACTCCAATTTAAGAGTTATGTTAAAAAATAGTTTTGGTACCTGAAAATTGACGTACTTCACAACTGGATGCTTAAAAAATATGCTTCATTTTAGTCGTCAAAAAATGAATTTATATTAAATCGCTATAAAAAATCATCAAATAAACTTAATGGAAAGCACTGAGATGAGAATAAACATGCTACTGTGGAATTGGATGTTTGTTGATTATGACAATTTTCAAATTGCCAAAACAGTAAATTACAGCATGGGCAGCAATTTCAATTACTTCTGCAATTAACCTTAAATGATTTTTAAGGAACCAATTGAAAAGTAGGCCAAATTTCTGGAACCAAAATTGTATTTAGCATTTTAGCCTTAAAACAATAGACCAGAAAATAAATACCAATCAATTTGCCAGCTTCTTGAAAACTAACAAGTAATAATAAGACCCAAAAAAGAAACAACTTTTGAGGCAACAACAGGATAATCATAAACTGCATTAGCGAAAACTTGTCAATTGATCACTTCCTACAAAGATCTGCGGCTTATAATACATTTTTTGTTGAAATAATATTTGCATCTTACCACAGTTGAATCTTTAAGATATCCATGGTGGTGCCAGGAAATCAATTCTGAAATAGAATGCGGCCCATGTTTCATACCCTTTTCGTCCTCATAAAGCCAACAGCACTCTTCACCTGACTGAAACAAGAAACAAGACATGTCATCAAAACAACAAACTGGTATGTCAAACTGACATTTTCTTGATAAGCATAGAGTAGATATTCCACTACCATCTGACAAAATATTATGCTGTTGAATGCCTCTGAGTTTGAATTTAAGTGGTTGGATTCCTTAACACAGTAATTGACATGAGACTGTGAAACAGACAGTGAATCAGGGTTAACAGTCAGTGGAGCAGCATGCTCTAAAGATCTATCCTGTTCATATACTCCCATCTCCTTATAAGAAGAGGAGAAGCAATTTGTAGGCATCCTTGTGCCTGAGATACTCATATTAAGATATGCAAACCCAGTGGAAACATGATCAGGAAACTGCTTGAAGTAATTCAATGGTACAGGGTTCATTATTGTGCCATTAATCACAGGATACACAGGAAGCTCAAATGGCAAGAAACCAGTAGTTAGACCCTCATATAACTGCTCCTTAATATAGGGACCACACATTTGCCCATTTTCATTTACATACATCCATCCACTCACAAAAGCAGGCTGTTGCACATAGCCACAGAAACTCTGGTCCATGCGCGAAATATTCCCTGTAGGAGAACACACAGGAACATCACCACTATTAACAATCGATGGGCAGTTCATCTCCATTCCAGAATCAGGATCAACTTTATCATCAATATTGCTGGAAGAGGGAATATCACTAGTGCTCCTGCACCAGGGGAACCATTTAAGTATGAGAATTGAATATGAAAAGAGGGAAAATAAGGTATTTTCACATTTTAATATCACAAGTTTAAAAACTGGTTTTAATTCAGCAGCAGCTTGGTTATCTATGGGTATGCTAATCGTCAGCATCTCTCTGTGTTTTTCATTTTTCAGAAAAGAAACTATTTTATCAGAAAGAAAGGATACCATAGAGTCCAAAATATCCTACTTAAGTAAAGGATATTAAAAAATAAGTAAATAAAAACTTAAGTAGTAAATACCAACTAGCTCTCCAATCACTCCTCATATTTTTCAAGTAGACTCCTTTAAAGGAATCATGCACAAAGAACAAAAAAGGGAGGCCATAAGCAGAACCCAATCTAATAATCTAACAATATTGCCTTAATTTCCACAGCCTCGCACCAACTAAAATGTTTAACTAAAAACATTGCCTTTCTTGCTCCTTCCAAAACCCCTCTAACTGATAAAAAAAAAAGTTGCTAAGCACTTTGAGGAAAAGCCCCATAATCACACAAGACATCACCACAGCACAAGGCCCCATTGCAATAAACTGCCATAAAGATTCTAGAAAAATGAGTTACAAGAGGTGTTGAAAAGTGAAAAGACCAAAGAGCAATAAAAACCTTCCATGGAAATTGATTGAAAATAAGAAAGACACCAGAGGTAAAGGAAGGCATCTGAAAATGGGACAGTCCCTATCTTACAATTTTCCAAAATTATACCTGGAGATAGCCACATTTATAGAAAGGAATCATAGGCCGAGAAGAACAATTTCATTAGAAATGGAGTGCCAAGGACTTTTGTGAGTTTAGCAGAAACAATCATAATTCTTACTTTTTATAACATGGAATATATGTGTAATTCAGAAAAATGTGTATCACAGGAGCATCTAATGTCAGAAAAATCCATTTGCCATGCTGTCCAAGGATGACAAATTGATGATTGCTAATTGACTGAGAAAATCAAGAACTGATTGGAAGAATCACAATAAATGGTACAGAGCAAATTGAACCTTGACGTAAACATGTGAATAATAAAGCATATTTGACAAGTTATCATTTAAAACAGTTTTGATTAATACATTCAACCATATAAGTTGTTTACATGACAAGACTGAGTCAATATATCATATAATGCATGAAAATTGAAGACCTTTCTACATTTTGGTGCAAGAACAAGGAAATATCACTGCAAATTCCTGCATCTGCACGTAAATCTATATCTTGAAGTCCAAGATCTGACACTCTTGGCCTTTTTCTAGAAAAAATGGGGCCATCTTCATGGAGAAAGGCAGTTGAGAAGACCATGAACCTTTCCCAATAGAAAAGTCTGGGTCAACAAAAAGGGTTCAACCAATTAAAACTATACAAAGTAATGTGAAAATTCAAAGGCTGCACATACCAAAAAAGGATAAAAACTATACTACATAAAGGTAAAACATGTAAGCAATAAGCATACAAACCATATGATAAAGCTATCAGCTTCAGACGCAATGGAACTAAAATATTTGATGAGAGTAGATAAGCCAAATTTCAACAGTTAGTTTAGTTGTAAAGAAGAATCTGACCAAGCATACAAAGAAAATATGAAATAATTTTCCACCATATACTTTCATTACTTATAATAAATTAAGAGATTTCTAATTCCCTTGCCCATTGCAAGCACAACTGAAAAAAAAATGAAGATTGGTTATGACAAGTGCTTACTGTTCAGATTACCGGATTACACAGTTGAGGCAACAAATCTAAGATATCCCTTTCACTCTTCTTGTTTGTTCTGGTTGAGTAGCTGCAAAATTGATGCACTTTATTAGCAACACACACATGCATCAATTATATTTTGTAGCTAATGAATGATCAAGAAATATGTTTACAATGACCTGCTTGACGGAATAATGGAATCAATAGCAACAATCAAATACATAAATAAACCCTCAAAATATTGAAAACAAAACCAACTAACAGTAATTATATGTTGTATTATTTTAATTGCATAACAATGGTTGTTAAAATAGAGTTTTAACTCAAACATGTACAAGTTTTACAAGTTCACAACCTTAGGTGCCCAAATCGAGGTAGATCGCATGCAAACTCAAAACCTGCAACACTCGATTAAACTGACAAGTTCAACTCTGGTTTTATGATCTCAGTTGAAAACAGGTAAAGGCCTGTTTTCCCCTGAAACAACGGTGTTCTACCCCTTTTACAGGGTTTATTTTTTCCACTTGAGATTCCTACTGCACAGTATGCTCCTTTGTGCAAACAGACCCACAACTGTGTATACAAAACAGAGAGAAACCAGTGCTCCTCTGTGTGAACAGAGAGCATCCAACTGCATCACTCTTTGGCACGACCTTCAACAATCAGCTGCCAAGCATCCAGCAGTGATTTCCTTTCTTCTTCGTGCGTCAATCCACTGTGAGGAATAACCTGGCTGTGACTTTGATTTCATACTCCTTCGTGCTTTGATTTCTCACTTCAAGCATTCCATTTCCTCTCTGCAGTGAGTCTCCCTGTGCCTTGCTCAGTTGCTCGCTGTACATTGAACTTATTTGAGTGTGTTTTTCATTGTTCTTATATTTTTCTTTATTATAGTGATTATTTCAATATTTTTTGCATGAAGAAAACGTATTCGTGTCAATTTTATGATTTGTGTTTATGGGACCTCCACGAGTTTACATAAACCCTAAAGTTTAACAACCTTGCGCATAACAATTGACTTCGTAGATAAATAATAGACAAGAGAACCGACAAAGTTTACCACCTATCAGAGAAACACCTCAAAAATGGTCCATGACATGCAAATATCCTCATACCAACCAAAACAGATATACGGACAATTAATATCATATTAACTCACACTGTAAGAGTTTTGAGTTTTGACCCCATTTGATAGAACAAAGACAACTGTGCTCTATGTATATATACCCACAACAAACATGATATGATCGCATTCAGATTAATAGAATTAGGACTTCAGGCCAAATAAAAGAGACACATAAAATTGAGATAACCCGATTAGGCTGCAGCACGTGTGAATTAGACAAATTACAACTGACCTAAAATTGACAAAAGAAGAAGCATAGAGCTTTAAGGTATAACAATATCATTCATAAATTATATTAATGCATGGGTAGCGTTACTATTTACAACCTTATTCTTCCTTTGCCTAGCTTGGAATGCATTCACTGTGCATAACTGACACTCCAAATATTAACATTTAACACCTTCTAGAGAAACACAGAAACGGACAAGCAAAATCCACAGGGAAGATAAAGAGAATAATAAATTAATATTGGACCTATAATTCATCAACACCATAATTTTACGCTTATAATTGCAAACTCTCCTATCTTCCGTATATTATATAATAAAAGGTAATTGGCTCAAGCTTTGTTAAAGCAGAACCTGCATTGTTCTAAAGTAAAACTAATTAATCAAATAAATAAATAATAAAATTAACGATGTATCAGTGTGTGATGGATCATGAATGGTGAAGGAATATTAAGCAGAAAAGCGAGTTTTCGGAAGGATCGAGAGTGAAAACCTTTCGATCGGCGCAATCGCGTTGGTTCGATCTAATGGTTGTAGGGTTTGGATGAACGCAAACAGAAGGGATTTGAATTTGGTACATAAGGGAAAGGCTTGGGTTGGGAGAGACAAGGGCAAGACCCAGATTAGGTATCAACTCTCAAATACTTTGCTTCCTCTTATTATTTGCCCTCAGCTTTTTATTTTTATTTTTATTTTGACTACAAGTGTTTTCACTGTAGTAAGGTCACGTAATTATAGGATGTCAAGTTTAATTTTTCATTTTTCACAAAAGTTAAGTGCAGCGTCCACTTCAACTATTATTTTTCTATTCCATATTAAAGTTTTTAATTGATAATTTATGCAGACTTTTAATGATGGTTTTCTTGACTTCAAAAAATAATTGCAAAAGCAGTGTACAGATTAGCTTAAAATTAAAAAATCAATCTGAGAGCTAACAAATTAATTAGAAGTTTAAAATCGATAAATTAGTTTATTAAATTCAAAGTCTGAGATAAAATCAACCAGCTAGTGTCACATAAGGAATTCTCTATTTACCCACAAAAATACAAAATATTATAACTGATTATTTTTAATTATTATAATTATTCGTTTTAAATGAAAGATAGTTTAAGAAATATCTAGTAGAGGTTGAAGAAATGATAATTATTGCTTTAATTTTGAAAGATAATAATAACAATATTATAATTCTTTTCATTAAAAAAACATAAAACATTTTTGGCAAAAATAATTTTTAGAGAAAGAAAAACGCATATTTTGTATTTTAAATAAATATATTTAAATTTAATATTTATTAAAATAAAAAATATATATTAACATAAATTTAATATATTTATTATGAATTTAATGTAATAAATAATATATAATTTCTAAATTTAAAATTAAAAAATATATTTTTCTTTTTTTTGTCTAAGTTTTTTTTCTTGAACTTACCCTTAAAAGTTTAACACATATGCACATGCATGTGCATGCACACAAAAATAATTTATAAAAAATATTAAAAAATTAACTAACTTATATTTTTATTATTAAATTATATTAATTTATTACCCTTAATAAAATAACATACAATTTTTTATTCTAAAAAAATTATTCCCACTCAAAATAAAGAATATAGTGAATTATTTTAACTAAAATGTCAAAAAATGTATTTTTTAATCTTTATGTGGAAAAAAGTAATCTTAAAAAAAATGTTATTTGAATGTTATCCACACTCTTTCTTTTTATACAAAAATAAAAATGTACTTACATTTAGATTTATAATAAATAAATAAATATATATATATAACAAAGTATATTATGAGCAAAATGTAATAAATGTTATTATTTATTTTATGTTTTAGTTCAAGTTATCTTTCTTCTTTGATGAGTCATCTTTATATATATATAAATTTAATTTCTATTAGTTCTTAGTTATTGGATAACTAATAATTTTGAGACAAAAATAATCTTTCATAAATTATAAGTTAAATATTGCACAATAAATATGTAACTCCTAGTTTTGTTTACCATTGTTCATTTTATTAGATTTAGGTTTTGCAATGAAAAATATAATTATTTGTTTAACGAGTAATTATTATTTTTATTACTAGTTTTCTCTACTTCTAGTCAATTAATTAAAAAGCATACATACAATTTATCCATTAACATTAAAAAAATAATTACATATTTAATTACACATGCATACTTTAAATGCTTAAATCATAAATTTATTGTCAAAACATGATAAATTATTATTTTGGCAAGCTTAGGCCATGGTATAGTTAAAAAGCAAAGAAAAGGCCACACTAAAATGCAAAGTTGCCATTGACCCAATGTTTAGGTACAAAGCTGAAATGCAAAAGAAATAATAATATTTGACAAGGTTATAAACTCTTTGCTGCATTTGGGAGAAGTGTCTATGTACTTGAGGACATGTACACTGGTAGATGTGATGGACTGAGACACAATACACTAGTATCTGTGTATTCTACTTGGTAACAATAGACATGTCCATTAAGTTGTGCGAGTGTGTGAGTGTAGGTTGTTTAGTTATTTTAGATGTAGGAAAAAATATATAAAATTACTAAATTGCCCTTTAATTTGAATTATTTTTAATTTTTAATTTATTATAAATTTTAGGTTGAAATTGGAAAAAGTTATCAACTAAGAACAAGTGGATGTTATTTTCAAAATTAAATTATGACATTTTAGTCAATTGTCACTTTGTCCATTTTTATATTATCCATGTACCTCATCTCCATAGGGACATGAAATTTGTGTAATTTGTGTCCCGCTTTGTACTTTCCTGTGCATGTCCTTTTGCCTCCAAACGCCACTTATGGGTTGTCTTTGTCCCTGTTTCAGGGACATGCTTATCAAAGGCTGCCTTTAGGAAGTCTGCACTAGTATTTTGCGATTAATGAATTATCAAAAGGGGTTAGAAAAATTATTTAAATAATTATATGATACTAATTAACCACAGTTTAAAGTTTATGGTGATAATTAACAAAAATCAAACTTTACTTAGTGGCTTTAACTTTATATTTTAATATTGTTACTCTCACTTTGAAGTAATTTTTTTAACATGAAACTAAATACACACTGCTTAATCAATTCCAATTCTAATTAAATTAAAATTCCAAAATTACAATTATTTTTTTCATCCGCGCGGACCAAATGAGCTTAATTAAAACTATACAAGTTATAAATTACATTTGGATAATCTATAATCAATTATTTATAATACATGCTTTTAAGAAATTTTACTGAGTACTATTTTGTACTATTTACTAACAATTCACCATGTTTTTTTGTTAAATTGTATATTTTGTCCTCTTAAGTTTAAATAAAGATTTGATTTAATCTTCTAACTTTTTTTAATGTAATTTTATAATTGAGGTTTAATTTGAAAGTCACTTCAATCTTTTAATCCATTTTATTCAATTTTAATTCCCTCAGTTATTTTTTATAGGGAAAATATTCCTTTAAATTCATTCGAACTTGTAACTTAATCAAAGTTTTTAAAATAATAGCATTTTGTACAATTCTTTCCCTATTTTATATTTTCTACATATTTTACTACTAAATCATCATCCAAAACTTTAAAATTACTGGTAAAATCCTCTTCAATAAATAAATCATCGTTGTCCGCAGTTCCCTCCCCAATGCATTGGGTTGAAGTTCAAAGTCTCACCAGCCCATCTCACTGGCCACCAAATAGATCTGACTTTGGACAAGACACCGCCGAAGTTCTTTGGCTCACAAGAAGAAAAACAAAAGAGTATATAACGGGTTCAAGTTCAGGATGATGCTGCTAAATCATGCTGCTTGTGACAAAGTAATAATTTTGCTTTCTTTATTGCTACTTTGAGAATTTTTACTTCATTCAAAAATCACTTCAAATTATGTGCCATCGAACAGTTGTTTTAGGAAACGTCAAGGTTGTTCCAAAATCACTAAATCAAGTGTGCAGTGAAAAAGTTTTACTTATATAATTCATGGCACTATTTAAATATAAACAATTAATGGCGTGTTTAGTGAATCCATTTCAACGCTTCAAGGTGTATCCCCTTTTGTTAGTAACTACGCGTCTGAAAGTAATTGTGAAGACAATTCCAGCATCAATCATCTTGTCTTAATCACTTCTCAAGCAAATGTTTCAAACCTTAATCAATTCAATCAAAACAAGTTTCTTCAAAATAATCGAAAATCAATTTTACCAACTCCAAACCAAACACACCCCAAATAATGCCGACTCATTTTACAATGGATACCCTCAAATCGAATGATCTGGACTAGAAGGAAGGCAGAATTTCAAAACAAGAAGCCAAAAAATGTTGCTCCTCGGGTAAATAAGAAGAAAAATAATACTTAATTTGATCGTCTTCTGAACTTTATATCGATAAACCAGATACTGCAACTGCCACGTCATTGTATACATGAAAATTTCCTCTGTTTAAAAGAAAAAGTCTTCCAAAACGCGAGATAAAAGAAGGAAAATGAATTTAGCTATTTTTAAAATGAGCGATTCACCTCAGAAAGTAAAGGTAACAGTTATAAGCTTAAATCCATCGATTAAAGAATCAATTGTTCAGATATATAATAAATTAATTATTTTAATCTCAACATTTTTCAAACAATGATTATAACTTCTTGTTTTGGCTGGTTAAATGAATGGATGACACTGCTCGTTTAATCAGTTTTTTCGAGTTTTCACAGCATTTTCCAAAGGACCAAAGTTCAACACAAGCACCCTCAAAACGAGGACCTAAAACTAACCGGATCAAACAACGCTCAAGGATCTCGTTCTCGTCAACACGCAAATCTAACAGCAAACTCAGCACATTCACAAACGAAACTACATCAACCTATAACCGCTCCAATTCAGTAACTAATTTCAAACAATTTAACCCTATCAAATCCACAAACCACACAACATAACAAAAATTCAATCAGCGGCACCAAAATCTAACCTCAATGTAGCATTATAAAGTAACAATCAACAACAAAGCAAGATCCAAAACAGTTCAGAATTAAACACTAGATAGAACATTCTTATAGTTAAAAATAAAAATAAAAAGCGACACAAAATTTGATAATGTGAGCTCAGAACCTCAGCTTAGTGAAGAACCACCGGTTCTTACCGGTCTTGAACCGCTCCTCGAAGCGCTTCTTGGTTTCCTTGAGAGCAGTGACCTTTTTATCCTTAGCGTGGAGCGCGTCAGGGGTAACGGCGTCTTTAAGGTCGACGTCGAGAGTGTAGCGCGTGGGCATGAGGTGCTGGTAGTTGACTAACTTGACGAAGGCCTTCACGCGCGATTTCTTGGCGGTTTTCTTAGCGGAATCCTTCTTAATAACCTTGCTCGGGTATTTCTTTATTCCGGCAAGCAAACAGTGGCCATAAGGGCGTTCGCGTGTGCCTTCATCGAACGTTCTCACTATCACTGCTTTCTTACCCGCGTACCGTCCTTGCAGCACAATCACCGCTTTGTTGGCCTTCAAAAATTTCACCATCTTCGCTTACCTCTCTCTCTCTCTCGCCGTCTCGTCTCACAGGCACTCCAAGCTCCAACCCTTTTGCAATTTGCTGACATATAGATAGAAACCCTAGCGTGTCATTTGTCTATTGGGCTTGGGTTAGGCCTCACTGGCCTGTATTCTCTCTCGCTCGCCTTACTGCAAATGGGCCTGAATAGTCATTTTATGATTTTTTTATAATTAAATAATTTATTGACTAAAACAAAATTAATTAACTAATTTGAAAATTTGTTTGTTCCATTTTTAAATGATTTTTACTTTATGCCATTGAATAATTGCCTCTCTGAAAAGGCTTGGTAGATTTTACATATTACATATTATATTTCTCTAACTTACCACTGAATTTCAAGAGAGGGATGGAATATTGAAATTATCCATGACATAAATAATGATGCGTATATCCTTACGCTTTCAGTGCTCCAAATTGATGTATAGGACTTATGTTTGTTGTGTGTCATGCTTGTACTTTTTACTATTTGAAGTGCTACTGACACTTTTTTTAGTCTTTTTTTTATCTTTTTCTTATTTTTAGTCTTATCTTCTTATTCTTTTTACAGAAGTTGAGAAAATATCTTATAACAATCATCTTTATTTTTTAAAATATTTAAAATCCTCTATCTCGTCTAACGGATTTAGACTTGAGCTACTTTTAATAGTATGTTTTGATATATATCACATTAAGTATGCCATGATATTAAACTAAATATGTAAAACCTTGTTTTTAACACTTGAGTGGTTCTAATTTTAATAGTAAGTTTTGATGTAATTTTGGAGATGTAATAGTTAGAGGAAGTAAAAAATGTATTTTTGAAATGGTATTAACTCAGTGATGAAATTTATGAAAGATGGAAAAATGGTGAAGTTAACGTTATAGACAAATCATATAATAATAAAGTAATATTTGAATTTGCACAAAACAAAATGAAGGTAAGAGAGGAATCAATATTTATGACGCAATTGATTCTTATTCATCAAAAGAAGTTTTCTTATACAATAAAAGAAGTTGAGAATGATGTATTTAAAAAATTAAATAAATTGTTAATAGATTTTATTATGGTATTTGTAGAACCTAATAATCTACTCCTTTTAGGGGTATAAGATAGTGTCGAAAGAAAAATCAAATCTTATTAATTGCAAATCTTATAAATATCTACTAACTTAGAAAAATGTGATTGAGAAAAAAATTCAAAAAAGACATAAAATTTTGATTCCCACTTTCAATTATAGAAATATTTATTTATGCATTTCAAAACTCATACCCAATTTCAACCCCTAACTGATTCTATTAAAGTAGATATTTGTATTTGTGTCTGTATTCTAAAAAAGCACACTCCAGGTATATCACTTTTGTCCTGAAGGGTGCTATCTCTTTAGTAAATTTTAGAAATTTGTTTGCAATTCATACCATACCAAAATTTTATAAATATAAATATAATAGAAATTTTGAATGTTTGGTATAAGGTAATATTTTGTTATAAATATAAAAATGAGTATTTACACAAAAATTAAATTAAAGTTTATGTAAAATAAAAAAAAATAAACAGCAATTATGTTCTTTAAAATATAGGAAAAAATTAATAAAAAAGTAGGTAGAAAAAATAAAATGGACGCTATGAACGAGAATACCTTAAATGTTTCAAATTTACAATTCAGAGGTTGATTATTGATTATAAATTCTGAAAAATCACGATAAAAATAATGTTTACATTAATTATTTATATATAATTTCGTACAAAAATTTTATAATAATCCAAAACAAAATAAAATATTAGATACAGATTGCTAACTAGTAAATATATGAGTGACAGTACACGCTAAAAAGAAGTCTTCATGCAGTTGCCGGCCCACAGAATTCCAAGGCTGTAATATTCCCTTCTTCCGGTTTTGTTTCAAAAAGACGGTCTGCGTTTTCACGTTTCAACAACATACTTGTCGTTTATAATAATATTTCTAAAACAAATAACCTTTTGTTCTTTAATATCAACATCACTCCCTCTAATTATCAATTAAAGTAGAAATCACTGAAATTTAGTCACGGCTTAAATATATTTTACTTATATTTTAAATTTCATAGTTTTATAAATTTGGGACATATATTTTAGTGAACCGCAGGTAATAAAGATTTAAATCATTTTTTAATTATAAAGATTAAATATTATTTTTTTAAAGTATGGATATCAAAATTAATTTTTTTAGATACTAAAACTGTATTTATACCTTAACTTACAATACCGTGATTCGAATGTTGAATACATTTAACTGTATTTTAGTTCAAAAATTTAATTTGTAGTTATATTTTAAAAAATCCACGTTACTTCACTTTCTACTAAATTTATGTACAGACGTGTAAAACACGCTTTATAGCATTTATTTTTATAAACCATGAGGTATACTCAGCTCATTTGAAATCCAGGACGTATATATATTACAATGAATTATAATTATAATATTTGTAGCACATGTTATTATCACACTCATACAGTTGAATTAAAGAAGTAAACTACTATAGTACCCTTGTATAATTTGAGAGTGTGTAGTACAGTTGGAACCTCCCAAGATGGTTGCATTGAGTAAGACATTGCATTTAGTACATTTAAATTTTAGACCAGAAATATTCGTGTTTCCTTTTCTTTTTCTTTTGTTGAGATGGGATGGAATATTTTAATTGTTGATAAATTTTAAAATATGAAGAAATATAATTGAGTTAATTTAATTATTTTTATTCAAACTTATGTCTCTCTTTACATATATGGAGTAAAATCTTCTTATACCAGTATTAGTTTAAAATTTTATACTTAGTCACAGTTTTTCGTTTAATTTAAATTTAACAAATTATAATTTATTATTTTACTAGTCATTAAATTTAAGTTAAATAAAGATTCAGATTAAGTATAAGAGTTTTTAAATTTACACTAATATAGAAATATTATTTTCATATATATATATATATATATATATATATATATATATATATATATATATATATATTCTTAGATGAAATAATTAGCAAAACTATACAGAAACTTTTTTACTTGATGTTTAAAACATTCCCATGCATGCAGTTGTAACTCTTGCTTGATCGTAAAATCGTTAGCATTTCTCTATTGACTATTAAATGGGGTTTAGTGGCAGCAAACTTTACTGTCTTTTACACTTTGCATGAGTAATAAGAGTCTAGTTTTGTTATATTTTTTATAACCACTTGAATAGCGAGAATAATAGAATGAGATTAGTCTGTCCAAGAAAAAAATATGAATAGGTTATTATTCTTAATGGATGTCGTCATTCAAGTAGTTCCTGACGATATTTAGAATTTTTTAAAGAAAATAATTTCGTGAGACGGAAACATAATTCTGTCATTGAATAAGCTTTATTTTTTAAATAAAATATGCACACAAATTTTTTAATTTGAATAACTATATAGTATACATTTAAGAGTATGAGATTGACTTCAATAATAAAAACGATTCCATAAAAATTGAAAAAAGTTTTTTAAATGGTATGTTTTTTATTGATCGAATGTTATGTATGAGAAGTTGGCAAATGTGGTTTTTGACTGTATTTTGGATCTTGTGGTATAATCAAACTATTGTAAACTAATTAGTTGCAAGTGAACATTAAAATTGCCTTTTTTTTTAAATGGAAATTAAACTAATGGTGCTTTTATGGTTTAGTTTGATGGTTTGTTAATTTTTTAAAAAAATACAAAGAACCTTGTTGAATATAGGTTGAGCAAATCTATTCGTGGTATAAAATAAATCTCTAAATAATGGTACTTAATTAAAGTCTCGTCAAATAGTGATCTTATTTGTATTAAAAAAAATATTATAGCTCATGACACACACTTGAAAACTAGTAAAAGTAATTTTATCATTTTGTCTTATATTATTGATAATATTCTTCCTTTTAGCAGTTGCATTAATTTTTTTTACTCAAATAAAATATTTGCTGAGTAGCGACCTCAATATGAAAAACTTTATTGATGTTTTAGTTGTGTTATGCATCCAAATTTATAATGACAAGTCACATGATATTATTTTACTATCTTACAAATAATATAATTTTAAACATTCTTAAATAATTTATATGATTTTTTGTTTCTTATGCAATACACCTATTCAAAGGAGAGAAAAAAAACTCTCTTAACGTTATGTCCTCGACCTGATAAAAATAAATTCATTATAAAGGTTTATATGCTTCTGCTATCTTTGTTAGTAACTCAATTTTGTACTTTAACTATACTTTGTTGTTATAATTGAATTTTGAGTGAGTTGTAAATGAAAACTGATCAGTAATCATGTTTTGTTTAAAATATTAGGAATCTTAATGCACACATATATTGGATTTAAAAATGTGGTTATTAAATGGGTTACTTTATTTGTGATATTTCTTTTAAGGGTTTTTGTTTCATGTAACGTACGAAGATTTTGGGTTATAAAATTTTAAAGCGAATACTTATAATTTCTATAATTTTACATACAAATTATATGATTATTTATTAAAAAGATAAAGAACACCACAAAGTTGAACCATGTATTGTACTACTTTAATATTTGTGACATCTAAATAATGAAGTCGATATACATTATTATTTATATATCTCGAGATTTATTGATATTTTATCATCATATGTCGTTGTACACACTTATTAATATAATTTACACTTTTTAAATATAATTTTGTGTTGTTAGGAGTTAATTTTCCTAACCCATAATTGATTATTTGTTTTAATAATTTTTTTTACTTTTAATAATTAAATTAATGTTATTTAAGTGAAAAATGTTAAATTTTTTAAATTTATTTTGCAAATTAGTATGAATTAATTATTTGAATTACATAACCATGAAAGATAAAGATAATAATAATAGTAATAATAATAATAATAATAAGTTACCATAATAAATATTATTTGTCAATTTTTTATCGAGAGGTTAATTCATTCACATAGTAATTGATAAAATAATTTTCACTTTGATGTGACTATATTAAAATATTTATTTTCAGACAATTTATTATATATTCTGTGATAAAATTTTAGTTG